TAAATTAAAATTAAACTTTAATTTTTAAATTAGAAGCGTTTCATAATATATAATTAATATTGATTTACATTCCAAAATTATACAATGATATTCAGAATGATATAAATCCAGGTTTTTTTCTCATCCATCTTTGTATACTGTGTTCAACCTCATTTGTATCACAGTGTGTTATCCAAATTTATTATCATCCCAATGTTTAGTGTACTTACTTTGTATCTGTATTAGTTGTTCAACTTTGTAATATGTTTGTGGTACCCTGTGGTATTTAATTTATGAACCTATTTTTTATTATTATTATCGCTATACCACCACGATAACTGCGGCTGCAAATCAAGGTCCTGATAGCATTTTCTGCAATCGACCATTAACTGCTTAAATATTACATATGAATTTAATAACTACTCGCATGTGGCTTTTCATTATTTTTCTGGACCATTTCATTTGACTGATAATATGGCTGACACCGGGTAAGTAATGGCATTAGGTGGTCAACACAGAGAAGAATCCATGAAAAATAAAGTGGCAATTGACAAAAGCAAAGAGTTGCACCTGAAGAATGGTCAATATTCAACAAAATGAAGCACAGGGGGTTGAGCAAGTTGCACCTGTGGTGTGGTACATTGTGGTACCCTAACAGTGTTTGTGTTTTCTCAGGCAACAGTCGGTAGCACAGTTCTCATGTATTATAGATGTGGTTTCATGTGGTACCAATAACTGTTTTGTTTCATGTGATACATTACCATGCACAAGTAGTTCTAATTGGTTACATATCACAATGTACCACACCACATTGTACCACAAACATGTTACACAGATGATCATAAGCTGTTGGTACAACAGTTCTCATGTGTTACAACTGTGGTTTCATGTGGTACCAACAAAGTTCTCATGTATTACAACTKTGGTTTCATGTGGTACCAACAAAGTTCTCATGTATTACAACTGTGGTTTCATGTCAAAACACATTATATTTGTATCAAGAAATACAAATATTTATGTGTGATTATAATTACAATGCATGCTATTGCTTCCAGTATGTTGTTTTATACATTATATTTGCATTAAGCATATGCTTTACATCTAATTCAGTTCATCTTATGTGATGTTGTTTCTCCTGTAGATACATTACCCATTTCAGAGAAAGCTAATGTTCCAGATGAAGAACAAATGAATGGAGGTCGTTACAGAAGTAAAGTTGAGCTAAGAAAAAAAATAGAAGAATGAAAAATGGGCCTGGGAGAAACCAATCAACAGGTGGCAGGGTGGATAAATGTGAAGGGTTCTCATCCAAACAGTTTTGACCAATTCCTTCTTGATGCTCCCTGTTCTRCTCTTGGATTGAGACCACGCTTATTTGCTGGAGAGGTAAGGCGGTTTTCTTAAACAAAGTGTATGATTCTAATCAGAATGTAGCACAACAAATGGTGCCCCAAACATTTCAATCACGCTAAAAAAATTACTTCAAAAGTTACTATCATACAATCCAACTCTCAACCAAATTGTCCTGAAACTACAAAAGTTTTAACTTGATCATGAATACAAAGCCATGTTTTGCAATAAATTAAGAACCTAAACACAATTTAGCACACCATTTTCTGTCCAAACAAATATTATGACAAATGCTAAATGTTATCACAATGTATCACACCATTCCAACCTAAAACTGATGATTTAAACCTAAAATCGTGTTAGGGAATGTAATAAGATGATACCTGTTTTTTCGATAGCTATAATATCAACATCGTCGTCTAGGTCAATGGGTTGGTTTTCTTTATTTGAGAACTTAAACATCGACTTCGCCTTTAACCTACCGCTCCTTCTTCCTGTACCATTCCACATTACAAAAACAAGGGTTACTGTATTATTCATATTGAAAATGAAGAACATAAATCGATTATACCTATTCCTTCGYCATCCTCCATCGTTTATGTATATACTTGCACTTGCGATTACTCTTGCGATAGGAAAGTATCTTCACCATATTTGGATTAGAATTGAACGAGAATATTAACGGATTTGACCGCGGGCTCAATAAAATAAAATACAAAATGACCATCTTGCCCTTATTCATATAATATCATTAAATGACAATATTTATTTATAGAAATAGAATAATTAAGATTCTTTTTTAATCTTACCCATTGATTTTTTTAATATATGGTTGAGATTGGTTCTCACAGTTACCACAAACAATTTAGTTCTCATTTGATTAAGCCCCTATATATATATATATATATATATATATATATATATATATATATATATATACACATACATAGATATATAGTTGTTCACTTGTAACGTAAATTTGTGTAAGAAATCAAGTCCATATATCATTTCTGATGTGATCCGGCAATATACAGACATGTTACAAGTACCTTTCCTAAAATAAATAAAATGGCACTACATGCATAAATATTACTGGTCACATAATAATATACATCACCGTCCAAATTATATATGGCTCAGCTTTACAAATGCCATATCTCCATACAATGGGTATTTATTTATCTATTAAATTGTATTAGTTTATCATATGATAGAACTCAAGTCATGACGCTAGACTCTAGCTAACTCCTTCACAAAATTTAATCGGAATTAAATTATTTTTTAACAAGAAAATTGTGACGGAAGTCAACAAAAGTTGATTTTCTTTTTTACTTTTATGATATCCACCATAAATCCGTTAGTAAATTTTCGATGAAACATCCATCAGAAAAATCCGTTGGTAAAATCCCTATATTTAATAGTGATTATTAGCTCGAAAGTATATACATAGCAAGTTAATTGGTAGAAGATTCAAATAAAAATTGATAAATATTGTGAGAATGTGATAAAAGAAGGTAAGGGAGTGTTGTATCATACGGGAACCCGTATGATCTAATAATCTATAATGTAGGTTCCCATATGCATCTTTAAATATGTATTTTTTTTCAATGATTCACATACGAATTTATTTTTAACTTCCTTTCTTACCTTAAAACAAAATCTAGCTTTTTATTTGAACATGTCTTGTTTCAATATTTGTCTATGTTAATCATGTGCTAATACATATGACATGGACTCATCATCATCACGTAATAACATGTGATATACATGTGAATATGAGATACTAATTAATCAACGACATCTCAAACACACGGTCATCAACAGCATATTTAACTCTATGGGTTTTTGTTTGGATATATATATATATGTCTGGAATCATTATGTGAATTATATCTTGAGTAAAAGTAATTTAACAAACAACGGTTGCTATGATGAATTATATCTCTTTCTAGTATATTCAAATCATATCATGTTTCATTCACCTTACCCTTCATGAAGTTGAGATCGATTTCTGGCGTTTCATGGACTGGAGGATAGGCTCCTTTACCTATGAATTCATTAATAGAATTAATTATGTGTTTCAAACGAATGCCATTAATTAAATTTTTATAGTTTATGAATAATTAAATTTTGTCATTAATTAATTAGTAGGATGTTCTTACGTACCGTGCTTGCTTTTCGGGAACGTTTGTCAAGGGTGGATCTGCTACAAACCACGGTATCCATTTTATCCTCCTCGGTAATCTTTCCATTTCTACCCTTCTCGATCCCTGCTGTGTAGCTCTCTATCGAAGCTATTGGCTGCATGCAAAATAAGATATCATTCAATACATATAGAGTGTATTAAACAAGACTCCTGCCTATTTAAAAGAATACGAGAACGGCCAAATCATATGTCAAATTACATGTGATTTTACATTAACACGGTCAAAAAAAGGTGTGCCAGCGACTTTGGCGCAACTCAAGCCGCGGGGCAAAGTTGCGTGAATCACATGTGATTTTGTACGTGATATTAGTGTAAAATCACATGTGATTCGATTGTTTTCTTATTCTATTGAATAGATAGTGTTTTCGTTTGAACCCGACTCTATGTATATGTGTGGGAAAAAAAATTGAGAACCCATGAATTTATGATAACCTTGAAAACTAGTGTATCATCTACTATTTCATGTGATTTTTTCATCTAAGACTAGAATTTAGAATGTCAGTTAACATATATCTATTTCAAATGTGGTTTTTTAAATGTACTTGTTTCACACTGAGCTTTTTTATCCACTTTGTGAAACAAAATTTGTACATAAAAAAGTTTTACATTGTGAACCACATACATATAAAGCAAACACAATGTGAAACAAATATATGTTCATCAATACATTAAATTCTAGTCTTAGATAAGAAAAATATATGAAACAATATCTTAAAATAAAAGTTACAATATACAAAGTAGTCAAATAATTAAGCCCCCTGTATATCAAACTTGAATAGAACCTGAGTGTTGCTTGTGGGAGTGTTGTGTCCATTCTCTCTTAACTTAGACACAGTTGGGTCACTGGTGTTGGACCCATTCTGATGCAAATCAGATCGACCCCTTGTCCGTGTGAGATCTGATCCGATGGAGTGGAGTGCACCAAATGTGGAGGTGTCCCGACGATTAGTCCCTGATATCAAGTTGTCCAATAAGTAATAAGTGTCGTATTGGTAGGAACTGATATGGGATTATAATTTAACAATGTGCACACCTGCATGGCTTTCTGAGTGGTTGGATTTGTTATGTGTTTCGTTTGTGTCCACCTGATCCGATCAATAACCACAAATATAAGTAGAATATATATAGGGTTGGGTTCACGTGAAACCAGCATGTTTACGTGAGACCCGTGGGATCACAAAATAACACTGAAACTTTACAGCTAAACACTGTGGAGGTACGAAAAATACCTAAGCTACACAGCATAAACACTGTGAAAGGTTAAGTGTTATTTAAGTGGTGTCACGAGTCGCACTATAAAAAAAAAAATATATATATATATATATATATATATAGCATTTGAAAACCCAAAATAGAATTGAAGAGTATTAGTTTAGTACCACAGCATCAAAATCCAAGGCTTTTTGGAGTTCAGCAAGTTTCTTGTTGGTTAGATCAGAATGGATCACACGTTTTCCTGTAATGATTACAAAAATGTTGATAGAATTGAAGTTCTTAAATGAGACCAAATCTGTTGATTTGATTCAGCATTACCTAGCCTACGGTTATTTGTGGCTTCAATATATCCTTCTTTGGTCATTTTATCCATTAGCTTCCGTACAGTAGTTTGGTTGGCCTCTCCACCGAGCTTGCTTTGAAGTTTAGAAACAGTAATGAAGTCCATTGGAAGTGCATGATAGAGTGCCTGCAATTATAAGACCTCAAAAGAAGTTGTTTGGTTTTATATAATATAATGAGTTTATTTCCTAGAAACCCAAATTTTCATTCTAAGTTAAAGTGGAGTCATTCCTTCTCATTGTCATTGTCATTGTCATTGTCATTTTCATTTTCATTCCCCCACCCCAACCTGAACCAAACAACTCCTCAAATTTCCTATTTTGTACTCATTTTAACCAGTAATTAAGCTGCTATGGAACTTGATGAACAACTTTTAACGAGCTCACCTTCATGTACATGTGATCTTCACCGCTGCTATGTGAACTTTTCTTGCCGATCATAAAGCGGCCATCAGTTTCCTCTTTCACAGCATCAAATTCGTATTCCAACTTCTACAATTGACGGTTGCAAAATACGAACTAGACTCAGTTAATGATCAAAAGGGTATAAAAGAAATGAAGTACTAAAGGAAATAAAAGACCACCCCTGCCCTCCTGATGTTGAAACTATCATTTCCAGCTTTCAATAGAATGCCTTCACTCACAAGCTTGTCCATAATTTCTGAAAAACCAATTAACAAGCTTAGAATGATCTCAACTCATATGATTCTTATTTATGATTTTTCAATCAGATTCTCTGGTTACCTTCAATCAAAACCTGCAAATACAATAAAGAAAATTATACCGTTGTTGCATAATTAAAAAGAACGAAGTAAAAAAAATGGTCATTTTGTAGTTAAATAACGAAAAATGTTTACCAATGAGATGTCAGGGAAATTAGAGAGGACATCAGTGACATCAAGATTATCTAGATGATAGGCACTGATCCAATCCTTCACACGGTTTAGTTGTTGTTCATCCTCAGCAGCATCCTGAGTATCATCTGTGCATATTTGACAGAAATAATCCGTCTCAGCTCATCTTGTAATCAAATCATATGGGCCATCAATATAAATCAGGGATGAGTGTATATGCACCTTCATCAACCATGGTAGCATCTTGTTTCTCTTTTTGCTTATCTGACAACAAAATTATGGTCATCGGCAATTTTCAATTCTAAAGATGCTGGAACAAGAAGCCTCAAGTAGAAAAACATATATAAATATATATTACCTACTGGTGCGACTATGTAGTCATCATCAGAAATGCTAGCCTGAAATGGAAGTGTTTTATAAGATGTAAACAGTATAAAGCTTCTAAAATAGACTTGTGCGAAGCTCAAGATGAATGGACAGCAAGAGTATATTTGGCACTTCACCTCACTATCAGCTTCACTATCCTCGTCTCTCTGCATCGAATCATCTCCCAAACTCACATTATCGTCTTCGCAAGGATCTAGCACACTTTTGACCTGTAATGATCAAGAAATTGCAAACTAATTATTGCTTTGAACTATAAAATCTAGTTTACTATATATTGCACTCATAATTCCTTACCTTCAGAGATAATACAAAATGCTTGCTGTTGACATTGCCAACCTCCATTCTCAAAGGATTTTTGATCCATGGATGATGGGCTTCTTCCTCTGTGCATCCTCTGAAGAATGGGGGCTCGTAATCAGTCGGCTACAAGATAAAAAACACATATTACACACTATTTATACTTTGATCATATCAAGGCAAAAGGAAAAGATCCTTAGTCATGTTATAGAGAAAAATACAATCCTGATTATATGATACAAATTCACAAAACTATCTGCATTTCTGGTTAGGTACCATTTCTCACATAGTTTACTTTATTATATAGACAATAACCACTTTGAGTTACAGGTTACTCCATTGATGTTGACACATTAAGGCATAAGAGCATCTAGGGAAGTTCTGAAATAACAGAAATCGGAAGTGCAGGTTACTGAAATTTATGTAGAAAAGTTAATGAATAAAAGCAGATTGCACCAACAAACCGGAAAATCAAAGTTTATAAATTTACTGGTCACAGCTTGTTTCAGTAAAGAAAGAAGGAAAAAGTTATTGAGATCATACCGTGACATCATCATAATAGAGAAGTTTCATCAAAATGGTGCGCTGAAACATCAAGTAAAATAAGCCACATTGAGGAGTGCATCGCAAGCTCGTACAAAGACTTCAAGTTTAAGTTAGAAAACAACATGTATGTCACTACATAAAAAAAGGCCTCAAATCGGTAGAGCATTACCTCTTCTGGCATCTTATCTAAAGTTCTCATAAGTTGAATCAGGGTACGTATCATTTTACATGCAGAACTCCTGATATAGAATGTGACGTTAACAAACTATGGTCACAATGTTCAAAATTATCTTTTAAGTTTAGAAAGTGATTAGTATGCAAGAAACCATAGACGAAGCTAAAAGCAATTCATATGGAAATAGTACTTCATTTGATTTGGGGTAATTTCCGTTGCGGAGTTACACTTGAATGTTTCCCCTTGCTTCTTGTTTCCAATTCGATTGACATTCATAGAAACCTCTTGACTGTCAGCATTTGAGTAACTGAAAGAAACTGTAGCACAATATACATCTTGGTAAAGCAAAGTATTTCCCAAAGGAAATATAAACAAAATAAATGCGCACAGCCATTGCTTCCTCATTCTCTACTCACAGGAATTCATAGAGTAGACCATGAATTCCTATTAAACAGGAAGACTGATATAGCGGCCAAAATTCCTATCACCACATGATATTACAACAGTTTCTCGAGCCTTACAGGCATATTCTTCAATCATTGGCCCTTCTACTGTCTCGCACACGCAGAACATTAGTGTCTTGAGGTATTTTTTCTGCAAAGCATCATATACACCTGCAACAAACTAGACAGTGGTTGTCACCAAGCAAAAGAAGTAACAAAAAGAACTAATGCTCGAAAAGCACATATGCAAATCATTATGCCTTTCTCCATCCAATCAATTAGTCTTCTAGACTCTGCATCCATAGGCATAAGCTTTTTGATCTTCATCTCTGTTGATGATGCAATAGGAAAAAAGCCATTCCATAAGGTCAAAGCTCTCAGCTACAAGAATGTCTTTGCCAGAATAACCATTGGCATTTACCTAAGGCTGGCACACCCTTATCACTGAAGTATTTCTCCGGGAAAAGACCTCTGATATAACTTATATTGAATATTGCTATGCGTAGTAGGTTCCTTGTCTATTAAGAGGCAAATAAATCATGAGATACAAGATATGATAAATCGCAAACAAAAAACAGTAAACTAATATTTCCAGATTTTGCCTCAAATGCTTCAGAAATAATCTACAATCGAAAATACTGCACTTGTATTCCAACATTGTTGCTGACTTCTTTTTAAGGGTTCACAAACCTTTGAGAGCACAAACAACATGAAGTTAAACTCGGCCAGATGATATTAGCTGTACAATTAGTGGCTCCGACTTAAAGGGGGTTTTCTCAACTTGTATGGACGCTTTCAAAGCAAGGCAAAATGTGCTGTGATTTGATATCAAAACTTATTTTGGATTGCGTTTCACACATGACGCAAACATTCTCTGAAGTTGTGCATCATTTACGACTTGTAACGTATCCATCTAAACTTTCTCACAGATCCAGTTGACCTTAAAAGTCAAACTATATCTCTTTAAATGCAGGGAGACTAAACATCCTGCGATCTGCACTTAACTACATATTACATACTCCACACCATGGTAAGTTGCTACTGAAATGAGTGATAGCAAATGAAACTGTAGGTGTCGCATTTACTCCACTACACTCCTAAGCTAGCTTGTGATGAACAGCAAGCATGAACAAAAACTATATTAAATTCCATCAAAAATGTACCATGAAATCTCATGTCAGTAAGTACGAGTTAAACTGTTAACAGACCTAAGCATCTTAAGCTAATTGTTAATCCAATGAAGCTTGTTTTGAGTCTGTTTCTGTGTCCTTTTACAGAATAAGCCAACGTTTAGTTTACAGAGGTCTGAACTAACAAAATTATAACTACAACCACGGGGAATCAAGTAATAAACGAGTATAGAACTTCAGGACTACGACTCTGTTTTCATAGCGTAAGGATTAATATTTGATTTGAATAGATTCGATCTGATTGCTACCGTCCGCGTGTATCGTAGATCGAAAAACAAAATTATCTGACCCAAAAATGACTCGCGATGATCAGAAAAACTAGCAATATTTACGATTGGAGATACAACATTTGCATTTGAGCTGAACAGCTGTAGCGATAACTACAACATACTGCAATAACACCCACAGCTTCTCCCAATTGAAATTGTGGACATGAATTCAATAACATAAATCATGAAAATGTACCAGAAAAATTGTTTGTATGGAAGCAACATCACTACAGCAAATCTAAAGTGCAATCCAATGCAAATTACTTACAAGGAGAAGAGAATCCTGCTCGGTGATCTCCGATTCCTTCATCTTCTGCGCAACAACCTGAAAATCCAGAGAATCCAATCATCAGGTTGTAGAAAATGGAGATCGAGAGTTAAGTTACCAATAATAAATCGAACTTCCGGAGACGATGAGGCTTCCGAGCTTACCATTTTCAGAGTTTGGGAAGAGAGAAATGTTTTTGAATTTTGGAAGGTGTGGGTGTGAGTAATGAATGAAGTGGCGGGAGAAGACGACGTGGAGGGTATATATAGTTTTTAGAAAAAACTAACCATGGTTAAATAATGGCTTGACTTGGGTTATTGAAGCATGCAGAAGACGACGTCGTTGGTGGAACTTAAACAATGCCGTTGACACTTGACACGTAAAGGGGACTAGCGGTTGAAGATTATTTATTCTTTTAACATTAATTTCATAACAAATTTATAATTTATTTCTTCTAAATTCTTTATTTATTTAAGAACTTTAAATATTTTTATTAAAGGGTCTTTGACCTAATAATATGTGAATCTTTGTCCTTCTGTAAGGAGAATGACGTAACTTTATTTGTTATATTTGTCATATATAAATATTATATACTTAAAAAAAAACTTTAAATATTTTTGAGAATTCGGAAACCATCTATTTTACTTTTATTCAAATGAATTATCATTGAATGTTTAAATTTATTCGTCATGAATACCATATAACTAGATAGTTTTCTGACTTTTTATTAAATGTTTAATGTTTCTAAAAATCGTATTTATCATCTATATGTTTCTCATAGACGTTTTTAACATATTATAACTCTTCATACTTTACTACTCTATGTTCTTTTTCTATTTTGAACTTTGGATGTCCAAATCAACTTGCATGTATTTCAACCAATCTCAAAAACCATGAAAAATAGTCAGAAAAATCCCCTAGCTTTTAATGTAATACCTTTTTAATGTTTTTTTTTTATATTGAAATTACTATGTGAAATTCTGAAAAATCCAAAGCCAAAAGAATATCACTAATAATTATTCATACCTAGATTCTCACGTAGAATGAACCTTCAAAAAATAAAAAAATAAGAGACAACTTAATAACCATTCATTTGTACGGCATGTATATACAAGTAATTAAAAATATTTTCTTGTATCTATACACATATGCATGTTATACACATATACATACTTAAAAGATTACTTGTATACACGTGTGCTTACTAAAATATTTCTCAAAATTTTCATTTTTTTTACAGTTTTCTCCTAAATCTGACCCTCCTCACATTCATTATACAAATCTCAGCATATATGCACTTTTTTTCTTTTACACACTTTACTAGTTCTATAGAAATAGCCGTTCTACCCTTTCAGATAAATATTATGGATTTTATAAGTTAATTTGATTTTTGCAGAAAAAGAATAAATAAAAAGTAAAAGAGAGAAAACAGGAATTCAACTAAAATACATTGTTAATTAAATTAAGACACCCCTATTAATCCAAAGCAACAAGTTATTCCTTGGCATGGGATGGAAATAGAAAGGAAATGGACAAACACTTTTCTTAAAGACTCAAAACTACACACCATAGCCTCATATTTCTTTCCTAAAATAGGAACAATGGCCTTATGCATATGATGAAGCAGCTCTTCGTTATTTTTCTTCTTCTTCAGTTGAACCAAATATGTTTATTTTTCAATCATTGCTCACCTTTCAAAGGCTTCTCCTAAGGGACAAACTGCTGCCGCTATTTTCTCTCGGAGGTTGAATTTCTTAGCGATGAATGGCCGAACATCTTCAACGCCAACTAGGCTTTCCAAAAATGGCAATAAGGAAAGCAGCTCTTGATCTGAACGGTCGTCAAACCAGCTCTCTATTGGTATACCATTGTCGATTTGGAATCCAAATGCCTGAAATCAAACAACAGCAGGAAAGACATTATTACAAAATGACACTTAGACTGACATAAAAAGGATATTAAACTGATAAGAATGAATACTATACTTATTTGTAGCCAAAAGCCCGAGAATGGTATGACATTTAGAAGACATTGGGTTATTTTGGGACATCAAACTATGGGAGCATCTATTCAAAAGATAACACAACCCAATAATAGGGGGAGGTTCAGATAAGAAGGCTAAATATTGTGAGAAGGTAAGAAGGGAAGGTTCATATGCAAACTATTGGAAAAATCCCGAAAAAAAATCTACTCCTTTTGTCCCAAAATAAATGTCCAGAATGAAAATGACACAGTTTTAGAAATATGTAACTATTACCCTCTTTAATTAACTAAATAACAATTTTACCCTTAATAATAGAAAAAAAAAATTATTCATCTTATAATTAAGGGTAGAATGGGAAAAAAAATTTACTTTTGAAAGCGAACACTTATTTTGGGACAAACTAAAATAGATACACGGACACTTACTTTGGGATAGAGGGAGTATTTGAAGATGTCTATGTGAACCGACATTACAAATTATTCATATGGGTTCAAATATGCATATTCAAATAATTTTTTCAATAATTCAGATATAAACCTTTCCTTTACCTTCCCTTCTTAACTTCTCACAATATGTAGCTATTATGAACCCATATGAATAATCTATAATGTCGGTTCACATAGACATCTTCAAATAGATTTTTTTTCAATGTATTGCAACATACAATTGAGTGAGGAGTGCATAAACAATACCTGTGGAGAGTTATCAATCATCACAACACGTGATAAATCACGACCAAGGACCGAGAGATCTTTGAGGTAATTCCCTTCTAGAAAAACACAGGACTCACGATAAACACGATGCCTGAACACTTTCCTCTTTGGATCCAGCACATTCAGGAGCTGTTCTGCATATATGCTTTGGCTAGCAGTAAATATAATAATCTCAAAGAGACTAGCCACCCGCTCCATAAACTCTTTGAGGTAAGGACGGCAACGAACGTAGACCTTGTGATCCTCGAGGTTAAAGTTCACAGAAAATGTGAAATCTGCATCATCACAAGGTTCGAGTGTGGAATGCACCAAAGTCTCTGCCAAACAACACAAAGCCAACTCAATGGATTTTATAGCAATAACAAGTTTTTGCCTAAGGCTCTGCTTGTTAGCAGCTTAATGAGATTCACAGCTTATTTGGTCAGTTTGATAGTGGCTTACTGATATAAAAAGTGGCTTATTCAATAAGCTTCTAGAGGGAGCTTTATGCAAAAGCCAAGTTTTTCCTAGACCTCCCTCTACCAATAAAAAAACACTCCTTCCATCTATGAGAAAACCCTCCCAAACAAAAACATCTCAATATATACAGACAGATTAATCCACACAGACAGCTTTATCCATACAGGACTTTGGGACTCTTTGTTAGCAGCTTAATGGAGCTCACGGCTTGTTCAGTCAGTTATACATGACTGTTTGGTAGTGAATTAATCTGTCTATATGGATTGGGAATGTTTTTGTTTGGGAGAGAGTAGTATGAGCCAAAAAGACCGGAACCACAAAGTAGTCGCTCAGCAGTATGAAAATCACAAACATATTTTTGCAAAGTTTACATTTAATAACAAATTTGAAGTGTAAGCAACACATCGAGAGAAATACTAACCATCCAAGTCTAGAACAAGGGTAGTTGGTGGGCAACTCCGTGTCTGCTTGGGTAGTAGCACAGGCCTAAAAGATGGGACCACAGACGCTAATTCCGGCAAGTTCTTTATAAAAAAATAAGGATCAAATTCATCAAATTCTTCACATTCGTCATCCTCCATTTGAACATCAGATGTACGATCATGGTCATGATCATGATCATCTTCATCAACACATTCCAACTTTGAGTCTTTCATGCATTGGTATATAGCTGATACCTCATTTGAAAGACCACATCCTAAATCTGTATCACAAGAAGATAGCAACATTAAATGCAACAAAAAAGGTACATCCATTCTAATGCAAAAATTCACCCCAATAATCAGCTTATACAACATTTATCAAAATTGTATATTAATTACACCAAACAGATATCAATTATTAATCATGTATGCCTTTTCTCCACAAATCCCGAATTTCACAATTGCCTTTCTTAATGAAGTGACAGAAATGCATGCCACCAAAGTTCTATAACATCTCAGGCTAACTATACCAGATATTGTCCGCTTTATCCACACCTGGACTCACGGTTTTAAAGCACGTCTACTAGAGGAGGTGTCCAGTTTCTTATAAGGCAACCTCAGTTCCTTTCCGCAACTGATGTGGGATCTTACAAAATACATAATGAAGTGACAAAAAATATGCAACCAAAGGAACTTATGCTAGTATTAAGTAAAATCTATTTCAATGTCAACAAAATAGCAATTTCGTTATTTACCTCCATCTGCAATTTCTCCTTCAGCAGCTCTGGAAATATGAAAGGCAGGAGAAAATATGGTTCCATTCACGAAAGGGTCTGTCACGTTATATCCCTACACCATATCAAAAAGTAGTTGTGAGGATCCATGACTCAGCACAATTTCAGGAAGTAGAAATGTTTACAAGTATCACAGGATATGATAGAATGAAGAAATTCACTAGGAAGTATTTCAGTTTATCCAGTTTAGGACTAACTTCACAAAATCAACTATCTAATCACTAAACTTTTAATTGATTTTGCTTATTTTCCTTTCCCTCTATTGTAACATTTTATCCATCCCCAATATGATTATATTTCCTTAACACACCAGTAACATAATCATCTTATATGTATGTGCTATTCTTTTGGGTCATTGGTTTATAGAGAACTCCATATATTGTGATAACCATGGGAACTATTATCTTAAGGTATTGTTTCATATGATTCTTTTCTCATCTAAGGCTAGCATTTAATGTACTGATAAACATATATTTGTTTCATAATCTGTTTGCTACATATGTATGCAGTTCACAATGTGAAACTTTTTTACGTGTGACTTTTGTTTCAGAAACAGGCTAAAAAGGTTCACATTGTGAAACAAATATATGTTAATCGATATTCTAATTTCTAGTCTTAGATGAAAAAAATCATATGAAATATCACATGATGCACTAGTTCTCAAGATTGTCACAACTTCAGGGGTTCTCAAATGAAGGTCCCCTATGGTTTATATTTATATAAGATGCACTACTCCCTTCATGCAGCCCCTTGAACATGGGGCCTCCTTACCATCAAGGGATCTCTTGGAAATCAAAAAGTGAATCCTCTTGGTGAGTACTGTCCATGTTGTGTAGAAGGAACTACATAGTTTAAGAAAAGCTTAACATGGGATGAAGGGGTAAGATCATGTTTTATCTTTTCATATTACAATGAAGTTGGACTGAACTAATTCAGATTGAACTTCAAAATAAGGTATTATATGCATCCTGAAATATAATAGCTTGAATGAAAATTAAGTTGGTGAAAGGGCCTTTGGTCTAACAGTATCAAAGCCTATGGCCTTTGGCCTCCTAGGAGGTCAGGGCTTCAAACCTCACCAAAGATGAGGAGGGTGTGTGAGTTTATTTGTTGCACTTGCCGTACATAAATATTATATATTTCAAAGTATACATACATACATATATATATATAAAATAGCTCAAAGGAAAATTAAGTTGGTGAAAGCTGATAATTAGTTCATAACTTCATATATCCTGGATGGCACAAAAAAGCACCACTCTTAGCTCTTCCCTAGTTCCCTGATAAAAACAGTCAGTTGACAGGAGATGAAGCAGACAATATACAAACAAATGTTTATCATCTTGAGGTACATTTTAAATACTTGCATGCTTCATTTTAGAAGCATATTCAGTAATGAGTCCTGATATACCACTAGCCTCTTAGTTATGCACTCAATGTCAGCTCCCCTGTGAAAGTTAGTCATTATTCAGATCTCAGGGTAATGAGCAAAGGAATGGAACAAATTATTCATATTATTTTCCATGTTTGGTTTGTGTTCATTATTACAAGTATAGAACGGACAAAATCCAGAATGTTGACCAATATATATGCAATAATGTTAATCCTCCTAACTATCCTCCTACTTATCTTCCGAATAACAAGAAGATGACACTTAACAAAATCTAAGCATTTCTTTTTATATCCTCATATCTTCCCTTGGATGCTGCCAGGTGTCTTATCTTGTTATTGGAAGGATAAATAGAAGATTGAGGATTTAGAAGTACTCATATATAAAGTGCTTCATTTGTTCAAATAGAGAGTGTGAATCTTACTTTTCAATGTCACTCAAAAACCTACTAACCACTGTTTTATTGCAGATTAAAGATAATTATTATATTAAAATATGACAACCCATAACGCTAATCAAAATAAGTAGAACATTCATGTTAATTTTTTAATTTGAACAGCAAAAGTATCAATTTACATAACAGAAATGGTGGATTTCTTAAAACAGAATAAGTATCAGCACAACAAAGAATCTTCGCCATGAAAACAAGGTGGAACGCCAAAAAACACACAAACAAGCTCAACTTAAATAAACAAAAAATATTTCAAAAATCTTCTACAAACCAACTACCACAGCAATAATAAACCAGGGATTTTGTGGACTGAGAATGCACATCAAAGAAGCATTTCCATCCCCTGATGGAATTAGAATATCAGAAATATCCAGTACCTCTCATTAAGCCTTCATAACGTGCCATATACATCTTCACAAAGCATAGTAGCTAAAGGCCATTGTAGCTATAAGTATTATTTTTATTTGAGTTTACATTTGATGTTGATATTGTATTATATAATGCTTGCCTGCTGGTTGTATATGTCTAATGCTTTCTTATCTCATAAACTTGCACTTGCAATTGGGCATACATTTGTCTACGATCCTCTTAAGGTGAAAGAATAATAAAGCAAGAAAGAGCTCAAGGGCTATTGGCAGGCTGGCAACTACATCAAGCAGGCATTAAAGTTGAACCATGACTAGAAGACAGGGTTGGTAATTTTGAAATTCAAAATAGAAATAACAATAGAATGAATATCAGTATCAGGTAATACTATTTCGCTTCTCATATAATCATATTCTAAGACCAGAAATCCTATAAATTATCTAAGTTCAAGTAATCTCATTGAATAACAGTCAAGAGAATTTATGTAATGTTAATGAAGCCTGAAAGTCAAACATAACACTGAACAGATATACGATTACCTCAGCATCGACGGACATGTCGTTGATTGCAAGATAAGAATCATTGTCCAAACATACAGTGGCATTGGTGTCAGCTTCAGATATGCCTCTAGCATTTAAATTGGTTGTGTCAACACTCTCCTTGCATTTCCTTGTGCAGGTGGCTGCTGGTAGTTACAATAGACATACACATGCCATCGAAATTATAATTCCCCAAAGTGAAAGAAAAGTAATAATGCCTAATGGGTCCAAAGATAAAATACACCAAAGAATGTATGAATCATTCACAAACTCATTAACTTACACCAACTTGAACACATGAAAGACCCATGATTCAATGGCTGCCCATTTAAAAATTAAATACAGTATTTGCAGCAAAATAACTTCAGTATGGCGCCAAGAATCAGAAATGAACAGCAAAGCCAACAGGGTAAAAAAAAAGCACATCCAGAAACAATGAAGGTTAGTTTGTCTGACTGTAAATGATAGTATAAGATGACGTTACGATAACAAACGTGCCTGGTTTTTGTTTTCTAGCAGAAGATGTAATCATCTGAGATACTTTGTTCTCTTGGTCGTTGACATCTTCAGACACCTTCTTCTGAGTTCTTGAAACCTTTGGACTCCCAAGCCCTTTAGAAGAATTCCTTCCCATTGCTACTTTCTTGGTTTGCATCTCAAACTTGGGGAAGATCTGTCTAGATGCTTATCAACTTCAAAACTTAGGTAGATATAACACGATCTCCCTCAAACTGCCACAACATCACAAAATTCCCTAACCCAAAACAATAGGCAAGGAAATGATGATAAATTACCCAGTCAACAATATAGGACTTTCAACAATGTCAAAAAATTTAAACTCAACACAGGAACACAAATAAGGCTATCGTGGTGTTGGGAACACAAGTGGGTGAATATTTATCACCGTGTACTAACAGTTTGTCATTATGAAGAAATGACAGCTATTGGTGCTATCACCATTCACCACCGCTGAGCAAAATAATTGAGGTGCACAGTCATGACTCATGAATGAGCTGAACATTTGACTTATACATCAAAATCATATAGACGATATTAGTTATAAGCATTTAAGCACGAATATGACGTTTTGTATGGTTATAATAGATTGTAATCTTGATGTTCTTTTAATATTAAAATAAGGCATGTGCAATACTATGCATACAAGCTACAAAAAGCACAGTGTTTGATACAGATTTAGAGGGAAGCCAGGTACACTTTAGCTCAAGCCTCAAAGTAGTAGGCCATTCAATGATTACATGGTTGGAGATACTTCTTCTCTCAAATTAGACTGCACATAGTAACAGAGCATGATATCACTCAAATGACAATTTCCCAAACTAGTAACAGAGCATGATATCACTCAAATGACAATTTCCCAAACTANTAGTAACAGAGCATGATATCACTCAAATGACAATTTCCCAAACTAGTAACAGAGCATGATATCACTCAAATGACAATTTCCCAAACTACTTTTTTGCAGCCAAAATAAAGTATTATTGAAACTTTCATCAAAAATAGGAGCACTGGATTGATATGTTAACACGACATTAAAAGTCAGGCCACATGATACTTGATACAAACACTTCACTTGATGATTGTAAGTGATGAAATCTTGGATTCTTGAAACCAAACTTTCATGCTTGAGATCTGGAACTCAAAATAACCATCACAATCAGAACTATCCATGAATAAACCTAAACTACCCTTTGTACTCGATACTCAAAAGGCTCTTTCACATATCTGAAAATTGAACTCTGCACACTCAAAATAACCATCACAACCAGGGCTGTCTACATATAAACCTAAACTACCCTTTTTACTACCACTTTTGAATGGTTTGCACGATCTTTTCCATGTTCAGCCATACTACAATGCTACTTTCATCTAAGGCTGCATTTGATCTTATTTATGCTTTGCTTATCCCCATTCAAGCTTTCATCGGCTTCAGTATTTCTAATGCCAATAACTCTCACAATAGTAACACAAAAATTAATGTGACCTTCAAATCCAGTTCTGTCCAACCTTCATTCACTGAAATCAATAACTAACATCACTCATCTCCATATCTGGTCATAAAGTTGAATCATGTATATTGGATCAACATATAGAAAGCTTTAAAATACACAAACAAAGCTTACATTTATGATTTTCTAGCCAAACAGAAAACTTCCCAACCTTCACAAGTCTTTGCAAAACCATTACTGGCCATTCACCTATAAATGACACATTTTCTCCCTTTCCTGAAATTCACCACGCTTATAATACAAAAAGTAAATAGCAGAAATTTGACTCTACCGAGTGCCCTTGGACCCAATTCATCATGCATCAATTGTAAACAAATCGATAAAATCAACAACTAGAAGCTCCTTCCACACAAAAAAATGGCTACCTGCTCTACACGATATATGTGTTCTACAGTATGAACGTAAATGAAAATGAGCAAATCGCTGAATCCCCAAAACATAACTTACCGATAAATCGAATCCTAAACTTCAAATCTTTAACTATTAAAACAAACCAATAATCAAATCATCCTATTTAAACAAGCAATAAAACCTCGATTTCGAAAACCCTAAAAACCCTACTTGCGACAATAACAACAAAAATCAGCTACATTAACACATAAAAACAGCTAACTTCAACCATTTACAATCTGAAATAACTATACCTGATTCCAGCTCGATCAGTCTGGCAGCTGAATAACACACTTCAGAGGCGATTACTGTGCGAACAAGATGAATCGAAGCAACGGTCACAAGAAAACAAAAAAATACGATAAATCTAAAATATAGACAATCCAACTGAAATTTTTTGAATAAAATTACCATGTAACAATTAAAAAGCTTCAAAAATTAGAAATTTTCCCTCCAAAGAAAGAGAGGGAAAACTAAAAAGAAGAACGAAAATTTGGGACTGATAAAAGATTTTAGGGGAAAATTTTATTTATCCATTAATCTATAAATATCAAAGAAATTGTCTGTAACTAACAAGCTTTGCTTCTATTATGTCCCTACTCGCATATGAGGCGCGTGCGAGTCACGGTTTGATTTAGTATGTGTATGGATAAGAAACTTTATGGGTGCCTTTGGTTCTTGTGTCCGGAAACCATAGAGCATGACACACTACTTGTTTAATATTTCATAAGATGATAAATTTATTTTTAGTGTTGTTATTTATTTATTTTATATATTTTAATTAATTTATGTAATTTATAAAGTTATGGTAAAATAGATATTTTTCATAACAAAATATATTATTAAAAAGTTTGATTCAACTATTTTACTTCAATCACTAGCTCTGCCTTCTGCATCCTTTTTTTACGGTTAAGATAACGACTTCGAGCATTACCAACTCCTATAAGGTGATGGTTGATGTGTGCAAGATCCGGGAACGGATTACAACTGATTCTGGCTTCATGCAGGCGAGTTGCAGCCTGCAATATGAACTAAGGAGTCAATATAATCAAAATGACACCAAAATAAAATGTTCATGTAAAAGATTATATTGATATCATCTTATATTTAGGATCATAATAAAATCTCTAAAATATATTATAAAAAATTATAATTTATTTTAAAGATTTTAATTTTTAACTTTATATTTTTTTTTAAATATAAAAACACCGCATGGAATGGGTGCGTCGTGCGTGGGCGGAAGGGGTTAAACATACGTGCGAGTTTTGGGGAATATAAAGTTTTGCTGCTACACATTTACATTTCTCTCTTTTGAAATTTTGGTCAATTTCGTCGATTGGTCTTCTATTTTCTATGTAATTACATTTAAAGCCCTTCTTTTATGTGAAAATTGCTGGATTTCCCCTCAAGTTTTTTTCTTTTCATGATCACACAAATACAAATACGGTTATATCCAAAATACAGAAAGAAAAAAACTTCAAATTTTCAAAATAAAAAGTTATATTTAATTCCGACGATCTATTCAAGTATTCGATTCATTTAATACTCTCAATAAATTTTTATATATGGTCTTTCTGTGGTAAAAATAATTAATGTATTTTCTCTCTTTTCTAAAATATAAATTTGAAGATTTTTGTTTTTTTCTAAATATGTTTAAAATAAGTATATTCTCACATTTTCTTCATATTCTACTGAATGAAGTGTAAGAAAATGAAGTTATCTTTTTCTTTGACGTATATAATATTTTTATACGGAAAATAGAATAAATAAACTCACACATCCTTCTCATATTTGAGGTTTGAATTTTTGACCTCCTAGGAGGCCAAAAACTCACATATCGTTAGGCCAAAGGCCATTTGATAAAATGAAGTAATCTTTCTTGTGAACATCTAAAAGTATAGATTGAGATTTGAAACCTCGTTGATCAACTATAATGGAAATGGTTCTTGGGTTTTGCTAATGTTCGATGCACAATACAATGGATTTGTACCTTATTTGGATTTCAGATCTTTTGATAAACGAAAAAAACACAGAGTTTTGTTTAATTGATGAACCAGTTATTTTTTCTAAAACACACCCACAATGAGAGGTGGTAATGTTGTGTCACGCATAATGCCAAAATGGCAATTTGCAACTTATAAAAACGAGTAAACTATGTTTTTAATTATTGTGGTTTGTTGAAAGTTGTTATTGTTTTTCGTATGCTTTCAAAAATATGATTTATACTTCATTACTTTTTTTATCCTTGTGGTTTACAGACTCGTTGATATTTTCATCTGTATGGTTTACAATTCATTGTTGGTTGAATCCTTGATACTTAACGATAAATCACTGATAAAGTTAACCTTAGGAATGAAAACAGCTACAAACTATAAACCACAGTGACAAAAACCATAATTTCGAAAGCATTTGGATGAAAATTGCAATTTTTAACACATCACAAAAACAAAAAACGTAGTTTTGTCTAAACACAAGCAAGCAACAGATGCTTAAGTGGGGCATTTTACCAAATGATTATCGGTACACGTTTATCAACAAGAATCACCACCTTCACTTTTTAACATTTCGGCCATCAAAATAAACTGTTGGTAAGCATTATCACACGGTAAGAGTCACCACCTTTACTTATCGAGAAGGGTAAGACACTCGGTCCTCATCTTGCTTTTTACCTGATAGGATTCTTGATCCTTAATAGACTCACTCGATAAGGTAAGTAATATGGTAAACACTAACCTGATAAGCGATTGATGCAATTCGTTTCAACTAATCATCAGCTTATATAAACTGGTATATTGTAGGCCCTATTATCACATTGTGATGTGATCCTGATATAAAAATTGCTATCAGGAATCAATTGTATGTGGTTTACTCTAATTAAAGTCACTTGGTTCTTGCTTTACATGGCTGATGCTAATAAAGAAGACGAAAAGATGGCATATCTTCGATCCTTAGAACGTCATCCAATAGAAGCTCTTTCTCCAGCTGCATCCGAGTCGATTTCAGTACATCCTGTTGAGTTGATTTAAGAAGTTTGTGTTTGTTGAAACTTGAATATAAGTTTGACCTCAAAAACCAAAGTGCCACCATTTTGAAATCGGGAGATTAACTTTTCAGGTAATAAATGTACAGAGAAAGTTCAAAATGCTAAGGTGCGAACTGAAGGTTTATACGTGAATCATTAAAAAACTCTATTTGAAGATGCATATGTGAAGCCATATAAATAATATGTAATGTTGGTTCACATATCATCTTATAATATATTTTTTCTGATTTCATTACAAATGAACCTTTCCTTCGCACCTCACCATATTTAACATTCTCATTCGAACCTCCTATTACATTATACACATATAGAATGAGGTTCAGGGAAAACCCCAAAAAAATAGAATACTGGTAAACACGCAAATAATCATCCATCTGTATGGTATGCACATGTGCATACAAGAAATTGAAGATGTTTCTTGGTTTCTATGCACTTGTGCATACCTGACAAATTACTTGTATAAACACATGCATGTTCCTCAATTTTTCATTTTTTTGCAGTTTTGTACTGAAACTGACCTTATATATAAAATATCGATCAAATAAAGGAGGTTGGTGTCAACTTACGTTAAACTCCATGTAGCTTGCATTTTTCTCTTTCCATTTTTTGTCCATAATGACAAATGCGACACAATAAAGCAGATCAAAAGCCCACTCGTTTTCTGAAAATGCATCAAAGCCTCGTTTGGTCATTCAACATTTTTCATATGGCGAGAGGAGAAACACATTCGTGATTCTGGATCCTGTTTACTTGTAAGAAGTTGAGATTAAAGAATGGAACAAAATGGGATACCTGACAACATATGTACGAAAACAGCGCTCACAAGTGTCCTGGGTTTTGCTGAAATATCGACACTATGTGATTAGCCAATATCTTCAAGAACCTCAACAGTGCGTTTGGTATCCAGACAACATAGAACAGGACAGAACAATTGCTCAATGTTTGATAAGACATGACAAATAAAATGATCAATTTACCCCTAATGAGTTGCTTCTATCTTTTATAATTGATTAATTTATGTAATTTATTATATTATTAATAAAAATAAATATTTTTATAACATGATATATCATTAGAAAGTTTTCGTTAAAGACAAATTAAAATGACACAAAAATAAAAAGTTTATGTAGTTTCCAATTTTTGTTTTATACATTTTCTATATTACTATATTATTATTTAATAAATTACATAAATTAACCAAAATATAGAAACTATACAAAAATAATATTTTAAAGAACAGTAAAGTGAAAGTTTAAAGTACATAAAATACAATAAATAAGATTTAAAGAATGAATAGAATGCAAAGAGGTAGACGTATTTGATGTTTTAGAAAAGAATTATGTTTTATTTTGAAGTTATACTTGTAAAATATAGGTTTGTTCCATGGGGTAGGTGGAACACGTTTGTTTCATAAAAGTCATGTCAAACATGGAAAAAGTGATACATGTTCTGTTCTGTTCTGTCATGTCAAGTGTACCAAACGCACCCCTACACTAGTACACTACTTTGCATATGGAAATCAAATGCTGCAAAATCTTAAGAAAATATGTGGTCTTGCTTACTAGCATCTAGATCAAGCAGTTTCATGAGCATAAATGTAATATTTACACCAGCTACAGCAAATGGATATTCCCACGCCGCTCCCCTAGCACCTTGTTTTCTTAATAGTTGTTGAAAAGATATCTGCAGTTCGGAATATAAATTAAGGAAATAAAACAAAGAGAAACGTGTTACAAATGACGAGAGTTTTGGGTCTATGTAGCCAATATCTGAAACCTTACGGAGAATGTCTTTGCAAAAAAGAGTAGGTTCTCCAAGGAGATGAATCCAGCTCCCCTGGTTATCAACAAAAATTAGCAAAAAATCAAGTTAGAAGTAAAGTTGTCTGAATCAAAGATGTGACACCCGAAGCAACAGGCTGGCCTAGTAAACAGTAACTTCAAATCCAACTTAAAACCATGGTGGAAGTTATTGGTAGGCCACAACTTGAGGCTTATAAGAGCATCTCCAACAGATTCTATAAAATAGAGAAATGGGGATTTTTTAGACAATTTTTTGCTCCAACAGATTCCTCAAAACTTTCTCCAAAACGGAGCAAGTGGGAGAAAGGGTGTCAAAATCTTCAAATTTCGAGAACTCCCCAAAAACGATTACCAACCATTAAGATATCTCGAAATTAAATGTTTAGAAGAGAGAAATAATATTTTATTGAATGTACGTAATATTTTTGATAATAAAATAGAATGTTGCAATCCCCAAAGTGGAGAAACTATTGGAGTTGAATGCACTTTTTTTTGGAGATTTTGAATTTTGATTCTCCATTTTGGAGGAATTTTTGGAGAATCTGTTGTAGATGTTCTAAGGAGCTCACAAGTCCAATTTTCTATCAATGTGGGACGAGTTGTTACAAAAGAGAAGTTCCACAACTTCCATGGCAAGTAAAATAGCAACCTGAAATCTGTTGATGGGTCTTTTCCCTGCCATCCCATTTGTTTCCATTGATCCGATATCAAGCCATGTAGCTCTTGACCAGGGAATGTAGATGACCATAATGCCCTCAAAGCCTCCTGTCCTCTTACAAAAATGTAACTAGTAACTCCAAACTCATCATTATGCAATTTAATTACAAAAATGTGGAAATGCTATCACGTTCGTTCTTGAATTCTTTTGTCAACTTTTTTTTGGAAGGTTTTCTATGCTATGCCCAGACTATCCCGGCAAATTGTGACTATCAGCCCAGATAAACTCAGTGGCCACAATTGTTGTGGACGCCTAGAATTGAACCCGGGGAAAATGGGATATTCCACCACATCCCCCTGAGCCTCAACCACTACGCCACAACCTTTGTGCTTTCCTTTTCTTAACTTTATGCATACAAACGTTCTCACGACATTGTTGTCAATCCTCCATGAACATTAGTACTAAAAAGGTAAATCTACTGAAAGGTTTTTGGATTTAAACTACCTGATGTTCAATCCGATTAGCATCAAAATAAATTTTCGTCCGGTTTTTCAGTCTTCCTAGTCTCTCCTCCTGCAGGATCATAAATACCACATGTATGTTTGAGAAAGCAATTGATCGTTATCTAAAAATAACATGATTAAGTGATCATTGATTTAGAAAATCCACAATTTGAATGTGAATACACAATGACCACGACACGATGCTAAATAATAAGATTGAGATTTAGAGCTCAGCAGCATACGAGAAGCAAACACAACAAAGATCTTGGATCCTTTTACTCATTTTACTTTACTATTTTGTGGGTTTATAAAAATCTGTAAACTTGCCTGAAGAGGAGTCACATTCATGCAAATCCGTGCATAATTTCCCTTTCCCTTAAAACACACACAAGGAAGGCCCTTCCTCATCCACGTAGGAGCACCACAAGTTGTGGGATCTGCACTAAACTAGTTAGAATTCTGTCCATATCCACAGCATGAATTACAAGAAATTACACAGTCCAACTTTTAGTTAATGCAATTGACGAGAGGTGAGCTACTTTCCTAACCATCTTTCTTGCCGCTTTGTATCAAAACAACCGTCATACTATAAAATATCCCAAAGAAAAAACTCTGTATTTGCAAAACATGAACATTTATATCCAAATTTTGCCAAGTAGAATGGTTTGTTTGAAAAAACTAAAATCAAATACGTATTTTGCACGTATAGAGTGTTTTTTGAATTATGATGATTGTTTCAATACCAAGTGTCAAGTACAAAGGTCACTTATTTGATTGACAGATAGATGCTTATCCCTGAAATAACTGAGCTTTTTGTTGGTCATTAGCTATTTTGCAAGGATATTGCTACGAGGATACAGGTGAGTTATACGTGATGGCCATGGTTCAAAGATTATATAAAATTGAGGATATAGGGGTGCATTTGTGTATGCGCAACTGTGTGTGCATGCATACAAGTCTAAAACAGACCTATAAAAGACACAAGATATTTTATGATTCATACAGAAGCTATTTCATGATTCATACAGAAGCTGTGTATGATGGATACACACTAAAACCTAAATCTTATTGAACTTTTACTTTTACTTTTGCTTGGTCTGTCCACGTTGGTCCACACTTATTAGACAAAGAAAACACTTATGTGCAACTTTGGCAGTTTCATAATGAAGCTGGTACACATTCAAGGACAAGCAATAGTTAGGATGGACATCACCCCTTATCTAGAAACGGGTCTGGTCATAAGATAAAAGGTGAGCGATTGAAATAGCGACAAGCTTCGAGAGTCCGCTGCAAATAGTAAAGTTGAAATATGAGCTTTTTACAAAATAAGAGCTGTTATGAACGTGGAATGATGTGCCCTATCAAATTGCAGCATGCAAATGTTTAGATATATGCTTTGTGATACATCGAGAGATAGGATTGCAAGTGAGGATATACGAGAGAGAAGGTAAGAGTTGCAGAAGTTGAGGACAAACTAAGACAACTATACGTGAGTTGGTTTGGCCATCTGCAACATGGACCTTCAAATGCACCTGTGAAAGAGGGTGTTAAGAGAGGCAAAGGTCCACCATGGTCGACATAAGGGGTTTCACCTATTTGGTTGTATTGTGCCATTTTATAGTTTGTTTTGGTTTTCTTTTTGGCAAACCCCCGACTAATTTAGAATAAAAGAAGGTGATGTTGTACTCTTTTTTACAAAGCTCAAGCAGTTAGCAATTTTCACATGATACCGATTTTGAAGCTGATGCAAAATCCATTAGACGACCTAAGTCAAAGTGTAGTGTTCTTATATTTACTTTTACTAAAGAGCAGATGGAGTAACTTAATAGATAGAACAGCAATAACTAACCTTCAACACAAATTATAAATGAGAATAGGCATAATAAGAAATAACATAATGAACATTATCTCCAAAAGGAAGTAAGGAAACTGCAATCCAATGTGCGAAGTTTATGAACGCCATTGATCACAAAACCTACTCAATTTCCTTCCAACATTTTCGTAACTGATTAAAAGCAAAATACACACACAGATCACACATAAAAATCGATCTAAAATTAGTACAAGAATAATCATTCATATCCTACGTTCCAGAACTACAAAATTGAGAACATAATGACAATAAACATGTGGTTATGTGTGAAAAAATGATGAGTACCCGAAAAAGAAGCAGAGACGTGATAGAATCTAGACGAAATGGAAGGAACTGTACGGATAGCAATGCAGCTCCCTCCTCCAGATCTTCGATTCATTTCCTTCTACTCTGAATTGATTGATTTAGTAGCCTCGGATTCTCCAAAATTCGTCCATGAACGAAGGGTTGGGGTGGAGAGAGAGAAGAGATGTTCGTCTTCTTGTTTGTGGCTCTTCGCAAATTCAGCTTGCTGAATTGGGTTAATGTTGTTGTTTTCCCATCAAGCCGATTATGCCCCTGGAATTTATTGGTATTGCCAAATTAGTCCTTCTCTTTTAAAACTTTATAATATATCCAATCAAAACACTTTCTATTGGTGCAAGTTGTAAGGAGTGAACCAAGTTAGATCAAATGCATCTACGCTTGCAAATCAAATATGTGAATAAAAACATATAGCAAGGTTATCAAAACTCTTAAACAAATGAAAAACTAAGAATTATCCTAATAAATATTTATCTGGACGGTATGCATATGTGAATGTTAGTAATTGAAATTGTTATCGCACACACACATGCACATATATATACATTGAGAACTAGTGCATCATGTCTTATTTCATATGATTTTTTTTCTTATCGAATACTATGATTTAAAATATTGATCAACATATATTTGTTTCACAATGTGCTTTGTTTCACGTGTGCTTGTTTCACAATGTAAACTTTTTTAGTCTGTTTATGAAACAAAGTTGTACATAAAAAAAAAGTCTTACATTGTGAACTGCATACATATAAAGCAAATACATTGTGAAACAAATATACGTTCATCAATACATTAAACGCTAGTCTTATATGAGAAAAAACCATGTGAAACAATACGTTAAGATAGAAGTTCTAACAATTATCACAATATATGGAGTTCTCAAACGTTTTGTTTCACATGATTTTTTATCCATGACTATTATTTAATTAATAATTAACATATATTTGTTTTACAATGTGTTTGTTTCACATATATTTGTTCCACATTATGAACTTTTTTTGCATGTATGGAAAACAAAAAAATAGATGTTAAAAAGTTTCACATTATAAATATTACACATATAAAAACAACACACTATGAACATATAAAAACAACACACTATGAAATACATATATGTTAATCAATACATTAAATACTTTACTTAAATAAGAAAAAATCATACGAAACAAAATCTTAAGCAAAAGTTAACACATATTTCATAGACTTTGCAGTTCTTAAATGATTAAGCCTCGGTAGGAAATCCATTTCTTAACATATTGTACAATACTAGATGGAATATCTACATTTAAGAAAAAGTTCTAATGAGTGCAAGTACAAAAATAGAAGGGTTGGAAATGCATTTATAGAAAAGATGAAGGGTGGTTTTGGTTAATATTGGGTTGGGTGAAGATACCAAGATAGGGAGGCATTGGATGTTGCATGGAGACAAAAGAAGACCCCCTTGAACCTCCACATGTCTGCGTCTTACTCTTCACAGCATTCCGACCAAACCATTATCTTATTTAAATTTATTTATTTACACATATTATGTTTAAATTGGATATAATATTTTTTATAATAAATTCCAATAATACATAATCAAATCAAATCAGATCTAAATTCTTTTATTTTCTATTTATATAAAATAATAATATAATTGTTGTCAAGTTGCTTTATTATTATTTTTGTTTGCTTCTGAATTTGGACATTAAATAAATTAAGTATCACGGGATTTCGGTACGCGATTGGCATGTATTTTGTAATGATGATGTGTGTAATTATAACCAAGGGCGGACCCATATATATATATAGGGATAGCAAAAAAAACCAAAATCAAACAATTCGGGTTGGTTCGGGGGACCTCTTAACTGGACGGGGACAGGGACAATTTTTTGGGGATTGTATTGGGGATAGTGACGGTTACGGGGATGATTATGGTTATCGATTTTGGGGACGGGGACTCTAAAAACCGGCCCGAATCCGGCTCGTTGTCATTCCTACATACATAGATACGGTAGCACGGGCTACCGTTTCATACTTACGTCATGAGGGAAAAAACGATTTTAAAAGATGTTACTGTCTTATTTTGTTACGTATTACTACATAGTTTTTGAAACTGAAATGTTAGCACAGAATCTTAATCACTAAGATGGTAAACGTTACTTCATTTGTATAAAAGGTCTATGTTTGAGTCCCTAAAGGTTACAATTGTCAAATTTGGTGTTTTTTATATATGTCTTGTGTTTTTAAAAGGACAATTGCATGAAAAGTAACGTATTTTAACTTGATTTTTATTTTGAGTAATGTACATTCAAAACTTTTATTTTGGTACATAAGATGTAAAGTTTTAAATATTTAAGTACATGGATAACCGGTTGAAGAGTAATTTTAAATTTAAAAAATTAATGTCACTAATCACGTCAGCAAATAATACTGAGCTAGATATTACATCACTCGCCACATCAACATTAATCCGTTAGTGCTTCAACCGGTTACTCGGACACTTAAATGTTTAAAACTTATTAAGTACCAAAATGAAAGTTTTGAAAGTATACTACATAAAAAATGAATCAAGTTTAAGTACGTTACTTTTTATGCAATTTATCATTTTTAAAAGTATATTTAGATCGAACTCGAACATAAATCTTTTTTATATAAGAACAAGAAACCAACCTTTATATTTATTGCCACCACTTTTTTAAATTTTTTTTATAGAAGCATCTTTAATTGTTGACTTTCAAAATTGTTGAGCTACGATTACGACAATATACGGAATGATTCGGGGGAACTAAAATGATAAAAGATATTAAATCTTGTCTCGTGATTTACAATAATAATATATTTATTTTTTCCTAAAATAAATATTTGATAAAAGGATAAATGGTTTTGGCGTGTTATGTCAATTATTGTCTCTATATAATGTATATTTTAATGAAAATAATAAAAGATACACTGTTTATGATGTTATTTATGGGATTGATATGTAATTTATTACAAACTAGTTAATTCAAAAAAAATTAATAAATTAATCTTTTAAAATATAAAAGTCGTTTGTCATTTTTTCCAGATTTTTTTAATTATTTTATTATATTAAACAGTTGTATTGTTCATAAAAAAGTATCTAGCATGTTTTAGAAAGTCTAAAAAGTTATTTAACATTTTTAGAATGTCCAATAACTTATTTGTTTCAAAAAATTATCTAAATACTTAATCATTCCAAACACTAAAGTCTATTGGGTTATTTTAGACTTTTCTTTTTTTTATAATAACTTTAAAATATTTTCTAAATTTATATATATATATAGGTGGAGGTTCAAATGAGAACCCTGTGATTTACGAGAACGCAAATAACTCAAACTTTTTTAATTAATAAATTAACTTTTATTATATATAAATAATTTAATAAGGACAGTAATGCCAAACACTAAAAAACAACTTATCAGCTTATTGCAATTTGGTACTGCTATAGGCTAATCCAAACACTTTTTACAAAACTCCGGTTTGGTACCGCATAAGTTAATAAACACTTTTACAAAAAAGCATAAGTTGTTTTAAATAAGCAATCCCAAACACCCCCTAAGTAATTTTTATAATTTTTATTTTATTTTAATTAACCATAATTATCCTATCATGTTTCCACGTTTTACTATTGTTAGTTTTCTTCTTCTCCATGTTGTTCATGTTTTTTCTCTATATCACATGATTATCACACTCATATCACATGATTACACCAAAAATTTAACTTATCAACCCAAGTGATGTATAACGGTGATTATCACATACATATTACATGATTATCACACCCATATCACATGATTACACCAAAAATTTAATTTATCAACCAAAACAATAACCAAGTGATGTATAACGATGATTATCACACCCATATCACATGGTTACACAAAAAAATTAACTTATCAATCAAAACGATAACCCAAGTGATGTATAACGGTGATTATCACACCCATATCACATGATTACATTTATATCACATGATTACACCAAAAATTTATCACATGATTATCGTGTAAACGTGTTAAAATATTTGATGATATCATTTCCATTATTACCCTTTTAATTTTAATATTTTTTGAATCTTTTTAAATTTAAATTTTAAAAATCTTTTAATTTTATTTTTTTATCACAATATGAGGTTATTGGGTTATTTTTGCGTTATCGTAAATCACAGGGATTCTCGTTTGAACCCTTCCCTATATATATATATATATATATATATATATATGGGCATATTCAAGGGAGAACTGAGTTGTTTGTGGTAACTGTGAGAACCAATATTAACCACAAATCAATAGATAAATTAGGAAATTTATAAATTTGATAATTTTAAATT